CCCAAGAAACTGGGGTCAGGGTTTGCCTGCTTTCCATCCAGACCCTCCCGGACCCAGGGAGCAGAATGCGCACGGCCTGGGTCAGCATGGCCCCCTAGGGGTCAGCACGCGCACGACCCTCATGGTCCCCCGGTTGGGACAGGCGTGGTCCCCGGGGTCAGACCCCTGTTTGCCAAGCGATGGCCCGGCGGGAGGAGACCGCTGACCACGCGCCCCGGGAGCCTTCCTCTCTGAAAACCGGCTGCCCTGGGGCACCTGCACCCTGTGGCCCCTCCCCCTCCGCCCGGCTCACCCAGCCCAGACATTGACCTTGCCCCTCTGGCCTCGGGGCCTTTGCAAAGGCAGTTCCCTCTTCAGAAGCACCTTCCCAGACCCCTGCAGGCCTGACAGTGAGCTTCTGAGGGTCTCTACCCACCATTCTTCCCCAGGGTCCTCTGCTGGACTTGGCGGGGGGGGGGGGGCGCAGGCCACTGCATGCCAGGCCCAAAGGGGGCTGCTGGCCAGTGCGGGTCTGCAGCTGCCCCTCGCTAGGGTGGTGGCCTTGCTCTCCCGCCCTGCTTCAGGCATCTCCTGATGGCTGGGTGGGCTAGGCCCCTGGGGACGTGCCTTTGTTCCCCAGCACCTCGGGGTGGCATCTCATCCCTGGTGAGGGAGGAGCTCAGGCAGTGGGTGGAGCACTCTGTCCACTGACTCTGCTTCTTGGCCCTGGGGTACACACTGCACCCCGTCCTTTACAGCCAGTGGTAGTGTTCCGGAAGCTGCCACGGGGCCTCAGTCCTGCCAGGGCCATGAAGAAAGGAGAGGTTGGAAGGGGTCCTGTCCCCAGTCCTGACCCAGGCCCAGCCCTGAGGACGGGGGAGGGTACATGTCTGTGCCCCCCAAATGACGGCCAGAGGTTCCCCTGCTTCCACAGCCCCCCATCTCCCTTGCCTGGGAGGGAGGCAGCTACAGTATTTGCTAAGCAAAGGTCCTCCACCCCACCCTGGAAGCCTCTGGAAGCTGGGGTCGGGTCACAGGCAGTCCCCAGCCAGCCCACATGGGTGAGGCAGGGGTGCGGGTCTCCGGGGGTCACTGTGTCCCCTGGCAGCCGAGACTGTGTTGGCTCCCAAGCTCACAGAGCACGCCCCCTCTGGCAGGTCACTGTGTCCCCAAGGCCTCTCTAGGAACCTGGCGCATAGTGACTGGGGACAGTCCCCTGGGAAAGCAGGGCCAGGCCGGCTCCTCGGCCGCAGGCTCCGCCCCAGGGGAGGGCGGGGACCGTCGGCTCCTAGCGCCACCTGGCTGACAGAGGGACAATCCGGAAAGACTCACTTGAAGGCCCTCCCAGGGCGGGCGGGCAGTGGAGGGGACCCTGGGGACTGGCTGTGGAGGGGACCCTGGGGACTGGCTGTGGAGGGGACCCTGGGGACTGGCTGTGGCAGGGCCACACCAGGAAGGGAGTGTCCTAGCAATGGGGGCCGGGAGACCGGGCTGCAGAGAGCAAGGCCTCACCACCTCAAACAGTTTGTGCAGACGAGACACTGTACACCTCTCTAAGTACAAGTTCTGATTGTTTCCCAAGTGGAGAACATTAGCTGGTAGACAGGGAAGGGATAATTAGAGAAAA